TTAAATATTAATATTTAATAAAAATAAATTTTTAAAATTTAAATTAAATTTTAATTAAATAAATGATAAAATCTAAAATTAATATTTTTTTTCCAATATATATATACGTATATTTAGATTGCCATAGTATTTTACTATTTTCCTCTGACGATGACCGCACCCCAGTTGTCATTGTAGTAACACCCGCACCACTGAATCGCGAACGACACGTGTCATTCCCTTATTAGTGAAACGATATCAGCGTAACGGCGCCGTCAAATTGGCCGTTGCATATCCTCGTCAATGTTGTCATTGTTTTCGGAATCTGGACCACCACCTACCCTTTAAAAACCGCAATCAATCGTCACCGCTCAACGTTTCCTCCTTCCCTTCTAATCTTAATCAACAACACTAGCGAAGGAACAACAAAAGTTGTCTTCGACAGAGAACGGAAAATTACCATGGTGAAGAAGTGTAGACCAATTGCAGAAATCGCCGTGGTGGAGGTGGCGGCTGCGGCTGCGGCTGCTCAGGTGGGCGTGAAAAAGCGAGCTCGAGCTCTAGCCTCGGCGACAACAGAAAAAACAACGGTAAAAAAAAGGAAACTAAACAGCTCGGTCGAGGAGTTGGAATTATCCTCTCCGAAAAGGTATATCCAGGAGAGGAACCGCCAAATCGTAGTGCAGGACTCGGCCGACGACCGGTGCTTAAGCTCTAGCTTAGATCATGATGTGTCGTGCTGCTCAAGCAACGGATCGAGTGAGAGGATGGAATCTCCAGATCTGGAGGTGAATTTGATTTCTGGTGGCAAAATTTAATTGCCGGCCTCCATGGATTTTTGAAATTTCAGTTTGTCGAGTTTTAATTGCTTGTACTAAATTCGGATTCAATTCTGGTTCTTGAATTTATTACTTATTTTTGCAGGCGGAGGATCTTGAAGTCGAGACATCCACTAATATCAGCTGTAGTGAAAGGTTCTTCTTAGTAGTGAGCTTTAATATATATTTTTTTTAATTTAATATTTGAGGTACTGTAACTTATTTGTCACTTACGTTTTCAGAATTTCGAATTCAAATGGAGGAGTGATTCATTTGAATTTTCCGTTTTAAATTCTCTTCCAGTTCCTCTCTCTCTAGTATCTATGCACATCTCTCGATTTCTTTCTTATCGGTTGTCTCCGTTGCAGTAGAGAATCTACAAGGTGTGACCACCAACCAGAATCAGACGATCTGGATTCAGCGTCAAAACCGTCAGCGGACAACTTCTGCCGAAGATCACCGGTGGAGAAAATACCGACAGAAGCGGAGCTTGAAGAATTTTTTTCAGCGGCCGAGAAAGACATCCAGAAGCAATTCTTTGAAAAGTAAGAATATTTTCCTGATGCACATTCTCTTAAAATTGCTCGTAATTCAGCTAAAAGAAAGCAAAACAAATTCTAGGATCTATTTTCTTAATTTTCTCGGCAACCAAACAAGGAGAATCGAGAGTCCAAAAATCTTTTTAAAAAAAAATTGTTTCCATTACTTTTAGGTATAACTACGATATTCTCACGGACGAGCCGCTGGAAGGACGTTACGAGTGGGTTCGATTAAAGCCATGAAGAAAATGCCAAAAAGAAAGCTACTAATTCTTTGAAAATCAAAAATGGCGGTTTCTCTTAGGTACCACTACTGGTTAATTTATAATTTAGTTCTTCTTTTAGTGTTTTTTTTTTTTTTTTACTGTCAATTCGATGTACAGCTCTCGCCATTATAAATTAGCGAGAAGTAGAAGCAAGCAAGCAGCTTTGCGTTGTAATGAGTGCGGGTTATACACAAAGCTTCTCTGAAAAAGTAAATGTCAAAATCTGCTTAGGGAAGAACGCAACGGTTTTGTAATAACGAAATCTGTTTTCATTCGGCGGCTTTTATGATTTTTAGCCCATTATTTCCGCGCCTGTACTCTGCTAAATCTGCTGCTTTCCTTCCATTCATTTTTGGTATCTACTGATCACTTATTTCAGTAAGTACACACCACTTAGTAGTTCATACTAGGAGTAGTAAATTAAAGTAGTAAATTAAACTTTTCCATTGCTTTTTTCTCGGTAATTTATTGGACCTTCTGCATGTTTCTATGTCTTTTTCTTATTGTCATATTTGTTTTTTCTTTTTCTGGATTTTTTTTAAGAGAATGATAGTAGGATTGCAACAAATTAACTACTAATTTTGGGGAAAAAAGACTTTACATTTCATAATATTTTCTTATCAATAGTTATAATTGTATAATTTGCATAAAATTAAATCATATAACACTTTTATAATCTTTAATATATGATCTTTTAAATAGTATAATTCTAGTTTCATGGTAGGATATGAATATGGGATGATTAGACATGCTTGAGAGGGAAAAGAAAAAATGGAGGTTGTGATAATCTGATTAGAGGAGAATAAAGGGTTAAAAGAAGTCATGGGCCCTGCTTATGTTGGGCACGGAACGGAGGAGGAAGGCCACGGACCATGCCGCGTCTGTTATAGACACGTGTTGACGATTAGAGAGATGATCTTATCACCACCCCACCCCAGCTAGCACAACTCTCCATTCCATTTTCTTATTTGTGTAATAACACCGGACAATCAATTTCTATACAACCTTTTTTTTTTTTTGCACTGTCGTATTATTGAGTAAGTGCATAGTACAATGTCATAATGTTACATAGAGTATGAAAAAGTTTATTAGTCAAATTTATAAAAAATTTAAGCATAAAAACATTTTAAAATTATATTGTTTTAATAAAGTATCATAAGAAATTATTAAAATAATATCATTTTACTATAAATAGTAAGTTATTTATTTTTTTAATGAAAATTTATTAAAATAATGTAGTTTTGAAGTATTTTTTACTCAATTTTTTACAAATCCAATTAATAATCCTTTTTTATTGAATAATATATAAAATTATATGAAAAAATTTTACAGAATTTATCTCCTAATCATTTTCCTTGCTTCCATCTCTCAACAACAAAGGTACAAGTGATATCTCACCAATAATCTAAATAATTTATTGATAATTTTCTTTCAATGAAAATAAAAGATCCTATGTTCATGTTACATGGTATACAAGTGAAGTGGATTAAGAAACGAAAGAGAATTGCATCTCCTTGTACAACTCAATGTACATATAAACAAAAGCAGGAACTTGATGTCCATCCTCTATGGGCATATTTATTTTGGAAGTTATTGTGTACTTTTATGTTCATTGAAATAATCTATATTAACTTTTAAGAGATAGATTTACCAATAAATAAGTATCATTTTGTATGTTAGATTTAGGGTTTAAGTTTTGAGACTAGCCCCTAAAGAAATTAATGTTCTTAAATATATCAAACCCATGATGTGGAGTTGCCCTTAAGATCATCTAATGAGATATTAGTCTCTAAAGTGTACGAAAACTAATTTAGGGATCCTTACCAAAAATACCAAAAAATAAAGAGAAATAGTCTATATTACAGCCCCTATATAACTAAAATATGTTTTAACGGTTAATCAAAATTTAATAATTTAAAGGATAATCGGTAATAAAATACATTTTTTATTTGCCTGAACACATGTGAATTGGTAGTGTATAAAATTTTCAATGACTTGTCAAATTATCAATTTTTTTCTCATTTTCAAGTCAATGATAATTTGCCCGAGTCCAATTCTTGAAATATTATCTCAAAGAACAGCATGGTAAAATATGAAACAAATGGATTAAGGGAGTGAAAAAATGGGAAATAACAAATGAAATGGAACAGAGAAAAAGAGCACTTGGCAGGCGTTACTAGTCAGTTGTTAAGACTTCATTTAGTATAGTTATAATTTTGAATTTTAGTTTTTAAAATTTAAATAATGAAAATTAATAATTAATAAACAAAATTAAAAATTAAAAATATCAATTTATTAAATAAATAGTTTTAAAATAAACGTTTAAAATTCTAAACTGAATTAATTTATAAAATTACTTAATTTTATTTTAAAATTTTAAAATTTTTAACTTTTGTTTTAAAAAAACCTCAAATTTCCAATAATATCAAACGGAGCTTAAGAGCTTACATTTTTTGTTTTCTTGCTCACACTCTGCGGACTGTTGACTTCTCAACTCGGAACCAAACCCAGGCCCAGTCCAACTTTATCTTATGTATGGCCTCCTCCAATCCACAATTCCACGTTCGACGTATGGAGCTGATACCACTTAAGAGACGTAGTGTTCATTTGGTATAGCCGGAGCATTTTAATAGAAGTATTGTTGTTATAAAAGTATTATTTTTATAAATAAAAAGAAAAATAATGATAAAATAAAATAATATATTAATTTCATTAAAATTTAAATAAAAAGTTTATATATAAATATTAATTTAATGCTTTTAAGATTTACAATAAAATAAAAAAAATATTAATTTATAAAATATTATAATATTTTTTATTAATTATAATATTTGATGTAATTTATACTTTTAAAGTAAAAAAATGCTTCCACATGCTGCATCAAACATGACGTAATTGCAGAGGCGCATGTGGAGGACGAAGACTTCCCAACTCTGAAGACGCTTTTCTAATTATTACTCCGTATAAATTAACAGCATTGTGATGTGTAATGACAAGAATACAGGATGCGGTTTTTTTTTTTTTTTTTTTTTCACAAAATAATGATTAAGAAATTAGTATTAGTTAATTGTTAGTAACTGGTTCTTAGTTCGGGTGAACATTTCATTTTTCAAATGAGGCGTACGGCTATCAAACTATTTTTTTACGAAGTTTATTATAGTGGTGGAATTCAAAACTCTAATTACTTCATCTAAGTACTTAAGATTTGAGGTCAAACCATTGACCTAAAAGCCTGGTTCAGGATGCGGTAATTGATTCTAGTCTTCTTCAATGGAAGCGAGCAACTGATCTCATGGAATTGGGTAAAGATGGGTTTCCCTTCTCGGCAGCATGTATTACTAAAGTTTCATGACTTTTGGTTAAATACCCAATTTGATTCTTAAACTTTCATTTTTAAACTTAGTTCATCCTTTAACTTAAAAAATGACCCAAATTAAATTTGAAGTTTATTTTTCCATAACTAAATTGGTCCTTCCGTGACGAAAATACCACTTGGCACATTAAGTCTCTACAATTTAATGCTTTTAATTTTAAATGCTTATGTGGAAAAAATACAATACTTAATTGATGACATGGTAAAAATTATTAAATATAATACTGATAAAAAATAAGTAAAAAAATATCTTAATTGGTTCATTCTTAATAAATTTAAAAATAAATTTAAAAGATTTAAACTAATTGATTGTTGTATTTAATATGGATAGTTAGGGGATCAATTAACTCATAATTAATTCGATTATTATAACCTCATAAAATATATTAAATTAATTGAATCATTCAACAATTTAGGAAAAAAATTAAATTCTTTTAATTGGGTTTCATCTTCATCTTCTCTGATTAAAAACCCAAATCAGAATTTGAGTTTCTTAATAAGTTTAGCTAGCAAAAATCTCATCACCAGAAAGCACTAAGAACAACCCACAACGTCAAAATCAAGAATCCCCAATGTTTCCTCATACACATGGGAAAAACTTGATTTGTCTGCTGCGATTTCCAAAGAAGATAAGGAAGGATTAGGTTGATCATCATTCATTGTGTTTGAAAACCCAGGTCTTTGAGTCTTTACTGTGGCAACGATAGTGGCGAGACAACCAAAGATCGACAGTAAACGAGCTCCTCATTTTGAAGACCTTATCAGATA